TAAATACATGTTGGAAATATCGCTATTTAAAATAAAGCCAAAGACTGGATAAGATTAACGATGAATAATGTGCGAATTAAACTATAGGTACAGGGTCAGATTTGACATCGATGTGGGTAACACTGTGTTGGACGAAATGGAATCCCATAGGTTCTATCAAACATTTATGGTGTTTTTGGTCGCTCCCATAGCTTCCTCTTCCTTGATCTCGTCGGACTCATTCTGGGGCTTCTCGAGTATGCCTGCATGACGGGACTCTCGTGGAAGATAGAACACCACAAACAGAATCAAGCCCGTCGCGGTAAAAGCGAGCAAGGTCCACATACCATTATGGTACTGGACCAGGAGATCGTGGCTTATATCCCCAGTCCGTGCAGTACTCCCCATCACGACATTGACAACCGCAAGGAAGAGAGAACTTCCGAATTGATACATGACATTCATGAGGGCCCCCGCAGTGCCGTGATCGTCCAAAGGAATCTCATTCAATACGATGGCCTGCGCGGCCACTGCAATCCCGGGTGCTGCAAACAGGTAGAATATCGAGAAGACAATCACGTACCAGATGCCAAATTGGGGCCCGACAAAGCCCCAGGGGACGAGTGCGCCCACACTGATGACATATCCGGCTACAATGACGATCTTCGTATGGCCCATGCCGACTAACTTGTTGCCAATGCCACCTCCGATCATGGATGCTGCGGTTGCAGGCTATGCGAAAGAGAGAATTAGCGGGAGTTGATGCTAGGTTGATCTCGTTATACGTACTAAGAAGTAACAGGCTGCGAGCACCGTCTTGTAGTGGAGTGAGTTAAGGCAAATCTCTGTGGCCAAGAAGAACCAAGTGACCCTATCAAACGAGTCAGCGTGAGTGAGATGTGATTTATCAGATGTTGAGCTAAATGGAATCACTTACCAACCGCCACCAACAAACATGAAGACAGTCAAGGGAACGAGCACATGGGGGTTGCGCATGATCGACAGCGGTACCGCCGGTTCGTTGACCTTACGTTCCACAAGTGGGAACGCGATGAGCAGCAGGCCACCTACAATGATGGTGACTATAACGGCAGGATGCTTCCAGCCCAAGTCTACCGCATCATTCAATCCAAAGATCAACAAGCAGGTGCCAGCCATGAAAGTGGCCACACCATAGTAATCAAATCCACGCGTCGTATCCCGGTCAAAGTTCGGGATGATCAAGAAGCCCAGCACGCAGGCAACACCGGCCAGAATGAAGTTTACCCAAAACATTGAGCGCCAACCAGCCGCAGACGCTGTGAGCAGCGCCCCAAGGATGACACCCAGCACCGTGCCAATTGGTCCACATGAGACGTAGATTGCTAGTCCAGCATTTCGATTTTTGCCGGGTGGGAATGTGTGACTGATGACGGATATGCCAGTTGCGCACTTGAGGAGATGGTTAGAAAGCTATGCGAGATAAATGCACAGAAAGTGAGAAACCTACTGTCAATGCAGCCCCAACACCCGCCAAGGCTCGACCAGCAAGCAGGCCATTTCGATCTGGGGTCCAAGAGATGAGAATATTCGTCCAGAATAACATAAAAGTGCCAATGAGAAAGGTGAGACGCAAACCCACGCGGTCAGCCAATTGGCCCCCGGCGGGGAGAATGGTGGCAAAGGTCAGTGTGTACGCAACCAAGATCCAGTTCAAATCACCATCGGTGAATTCTAGCGCCTCTTTGATGTCAGCCAGGCCAAACATGACCATGGAACTCTGGAAGAGGTCGAGGAAATTAACGATACAGGCGACTGTGACGACTCCCCAAGCCACTGAGGGCTTGGTATGGTCGCCATATGGCGGTAGTATGTGAGGCATAACGGAAAGAGAACAGTACCCCAAAAGTATGTGAAGAACCTTGGTGGGCAGCACTTGAGAACTCAATAATGTTATAACAAATATATATATAAAATAGGCTTTGGTTGAACGTAATGGCACAACGGCCAGAGCAAAAATGAACTATTTAAGAATATTGATCTTGGAATCTAGACAGGCCTAATCAACAGAAATTGGAAATCACCAACGCAGGGGATGTATTGAGGGAGCAAGACATCATGCAAAGACACTGAATACGTGTAGCTAGAAAGTGTCCGAAATGTCTCCGGTGCTGCTTTCTTTGTTACTTGGCACTAGTGGTTTCCCTGCATGTGGCATATGAGTACCCCGGTAGAATAGGCCTGGTTTTCCTTCTAGTAAAATACCGTAGATGCCTTACTTGCTTCTATATACTACCCAATTTCAAAGATTGCCTAGTACGAAATAGAATTGGCTTATCATCAAGTAAACAAAGAACCATGAGTTGGACAGGTACACCTAGGGCTAGAGGTAAAGAACAAATTGAATATATCATGCAGAAAGTGGGTTGAGTACCCCTGGAAAATATGGGAAGTATGGGCGCATTAGACTATTACAGCATAGTCTATCGTTTATTTCTAAACATTTTTTTATTCTCCGTCAAAGTATCCGACGCGGTGTTTCTAGTCACCTGCAGCGGAGGACGGAGACATTCTCACGAAGTCTCCGAGGTGGGAGAAGGACTTCAAAAGCAAAGACCCAGTCCTCGATATATCACCCTTTTCCTATTGACCATTATCTCTTCTAATTATTGTTTCTATCGGAAAAAGATGAATATGACAAAATTCGTTTTCGACGCATTGATCGTCGGAGGTGGCCCTGCAGGCCTGTCGGCCGCCCTGGCTCTCGCACGAGTCCAACGCACGGCACTGGTCTTTGATTCTGGTCATTATCGAAACCTGGGCGTGTCAGCCATGCATACAGTTCTGTCGCGGGACGGCATTCCGCCAACCGAGTTCCGTGAGATCGCTCGCAGTCAGATCGAAGAGAAGTATCCCCGTATCCAGTTCTCTAGTGCCCAAGTCTCGCAGGCTTCTCAAACGGACATCGGGGACGGATACATGGGGTATCAGGTCACTGATAGAGATGAGACCATCTACAAAGGGCGCAAGTTGATTCTGGCTACTGGGTCGGAGGATCTGTTGCCCACGAACATTGATGGATACCAGGAAAACTGGCCTTCGCACATGTAAGTTAGACCCGCAATCAGAATCCCACTTCATGACTGACCAACCTCGTTATATAGTTATCAATGTCTCTTCTGTGATGGCTATGAAAAGCAGGGTCAGCCTGTGGGAATTTTGGAGTTCTCCTCCCCAGCATACCTGGGACTTGCTCTCATGAGCTTACAGTTCTCAGATGATGTCACTATCTACAGCAATGGGCCGTTATCAAGCGATACAGTTGTCCAAAAGGCGGCTCGCACGGCGTCTGCCAGTGGCGTCAAGATTGACGAAAGACCAATTCGACGATTGATGAACCAAGGGGACACCATCGGCATCGAATTCGATGATACACAGACCATCACTCTCGGTATGCTGTTGCACAAGCCCCCGACGATCAACCGATCACAGAATTTGATTGATCAGCTCGGGCTCGCAACAATGGAGCAGAGTGCCGAAGTGGTGGTCAATCCACTCTTCTGTGAATCCAGTCTGCCGGGCTGCTTCGTGGCTGGCGATGGTGGTCAGTTGTTGAAGCAGGTAGCTGTTGCTATGGGTACTGGTGTGTAATACAACTCTTTGCTTTCGACATTAGACGTGACAGTTTGGCTAACCTGAATTGATGGTTTAGGAGTTCGCGCAGCCTCGGGGGTATCCTTTCAGCTCTGTAACGAAGAGGGTGCGCTTGCCCTTGCTGCGCAAGAGAAGAACGCAGAGGTTTGAACTGAGTCAGGCTGTCTACGGCCTAGACTTTGGCATTAAACGATTCTATACATTACAGTCTAGAGACATCCCATATTTATACGTCATATTCGTCGTGAATTAGTATATATTCGCACATTTGTATCACGTTAGCGCATTTCCTCGTTTGTCTACTAGATATTTGAAGCATAAATTGTTATGGTTTGCCGCGATCTTAATCAAGCTCTTTTATCCCATCACAACGAGTCATGATATAAACATAAGTGCACACTTTCCCTAGCCTCTCACGATATGCCTGTCACGCGATATAAGTTGATTTTGCAATGACAATGTATTCCATAGTTATATATGTATCATACAGCCAGAAAGTTCAACTTCGTGCCATCTCCCCTTCCCCAAACCCTGGATTGAATGTTGTCATGGCACATCCACATCAGTCCATACATAGTCATAATCACCCATCCCAACCACCTTGGACAGTGTCCATGAGTATCCGTTTTTGCTTTGATAAGTAGAACTAAAGCACGCAGGAGAGGTCGCCAAAAGGAGAGAAAAATCATTCCTCCCACACGCGTGATGACTGATCGAGAGGGATTGTATGAGGGAAGCGAGTCGATATAAGTGCAATAGTCTTCAGGTATCTTCCACTCCTTACATCCTTCAGAGAGGAGGCCCTATAAGATGACGGAATAACCGGAGAGGATTAGCTCGATTAATTAATTGCTAGGGGGGATTCCCTGGATGGATCGCGGGAGGTGCACCAACAAGATATCGTGCGCTAGGAGACCCATTGGGCTCCCAGGGGTATTTGGCCTGTAGGGTCCGCGCAACCAGCTTCGTTGGTTCGTGCCCACCATCATCCAGATGGAGGATTTTAGCATCGACTTCGATTTCATTATATGCGACTCCACCACCCTCGCTAATTACTAGCTGGCGGTAGTCTGCAGGGGTCAAGAGGTATGCGACACCGTGGGCGGCAGGGACCAATGTGTGCCTTGCAGGGGATGCTGTTTGCAGTATCGTCACTTTTTCTGGCACGAAGGCGGCGATACTAGCAAAAGAGGGTTCCGCGTAGGGGATCCCGAAAATGTCAAACGTGAGATAGTGCGAGGGAACAACAACCAATTTGGCATCTAGCGCAGTAATTCCTCGTCGTTTCATAACGGACGAGCGCATGTTGGAGCCATAGGCGAAGTACCAAATGCCCTTGTCGCCAGACATGTCGTCGAGGAGGTGAGCTATGCTAGGTGCTCGAATTCTAGCTAAGCACATGAGTAGAAAAATGTCTCTTACGGACCTATTCACTTTGAATCTCTTGTAATGCCCACGGTGGCCGAAAATTCGGACGGCGTTCAGACTAGGGCAACCCTGAAGCTTGATGGTCTACCTAGCGAGCTACAATAATATACATGGCAAACTAACATCATATTCTGTCAAATCACTCACTATGGATGTTAGGCCTTCTGATATTCCAGCAAATAAGCTGGTACTCTTTGTTGTGAAAGGTATGTAGCACGAGCAGCATCCAAGTGAAGGAATGTTGAGTGCTGAACACCCGGGGAAACGCTCAGGAACCGCCACATCCACCCACAACACCGTGAAGCCACTGATCCTGCTCGAGGAGCTGGGAATCCCACATGATATCTACGTGGTTGAAAAGGTTTCCGCGCCATGGTTCAGCGATATCAACCCACATAAGATGGTGCCCGCCATTGAGGATCAATTACCCGACGGCAAGGGCTGCGTGCGCGCATGGGAGTCAAGCTCGACACTGACTTACATCGCCGATGCCTACGATCTCGACGGAAAGTTTGGGGGTAGGACTCTGGGCGAACGTACTGAGATTGCCAATTGGCTGACTCTACACACGGCTGCGTTGGGCCCGACAGCTAAATACTGGCTGTATTTCCATGCACTTCACCCCGAGAAACTGCCCAAAGCTATTGCAAAGCTGTCCCAGAACATTACAGTGCAATATGATATCCTCGAGAGACGTTTGAATAAGCCAGGCCAGTTGTTTTTGGCTCTCCCAGATCGACCGACGATTGCGGATATTGCCACCCTGCCATTTGCGATGGAGTCTACCGCAAACCTTTTTGGTTATGAACTGGGAAAATGGCCCAAATTGCAGGAATGGTCCATCCGCATGGGGGAGCGAGAGGCCGTGAAACGTGCGTGGCAGCGATGTGCTAGTTTTGGACATGGTGAGAAGGAATACGGACATGTAGCATAAGCCGAGAGCAGATGATCACACCCTGAGAAAGCAAGATTGTGCAAGAGTGAAGAAGGGAATTATGTAAACAGCAATTTCATATTATATCTCTACCCTGAAAGTTCGATGAAGCTGCGTATTTGGTATGCTTTCTAGGATGACAACGTCGAAGAAGGCGGCGGAATCACAGTCCAGATACTCCTCTTCCTGCTTGATGCTTATATTCTTTCTTTTCTTTGGAGATTCGATATGGACTTTAGGAAAACATTAACATTCTGACTCGCTCTTTTAGCAATTGGTTACAGGGCCTAAGCGCCACTTGCCATTCGTAGGAGTTGATGCGGGCTCTCTGCTCATGCAAGCCTGTTGATTACCTAGGCTAGTTTTCTATTGACCACACGGGTATATTTGAACAGAAATGCAGGTATCTGATTGGCTTTCTAGGGAAACAGGCACCTGTCTATTACTTGAACCGGATATCACAGGCCTGAAAAGCAACGCTGCAAACTAAGCCTCCAGACACCCTTGGACCCTATCTGGGGTTGCCAAAGACACTGACGTGGTCGGTGTCTGCTATCACCGTCGGCTTTGTTGTCCATAACAGCTCGCGCTCCGTCCGGGCTATCGTACTCGGTCACCGAAACTCGGAATAAATTCCCATACAGTTCAATATTCCAGATCCAGACGTGCAGGCGGATTCGAAGGTTTGTCCATTAAAAGAAATCGGGTCGTCTGGGTCAAAAAGCCCAATACATCTCCAGATACAATTTCTTTTAGATTCCGAAAGAAACGAAACGAGCGAGCAAGAGACATCATCACAATAATGGCACCCTCGCGGACAGAAGACCTTTTGCCAGCAAACGAGACCATGTCAGATCCATCGGACTTGCAAAAGGTACTTCATGAACTTAATGAGCTAGAGAGTCATGTACAGCGGGTCCTGGTTACAATCCAGTCCCCTGAAATCGCTTCGTTGATAGAGAACCAGCTACACGACCCCGATCAATTACCAGACCCCGGGCTAGAGCAAGTGGCGCTTAGGCTGGTGGACACAATGGACCACATACAACTGCAACTCCTTCCGTCCGTGTCACTGCTCACAGACGGCTTCTTCGGTAAGATAATAGTGCCCTAAGATTGGACGGCACCTGCTAATCTACACCCTTCTGGCAGGATATCTCAACAGTAAAGTCCTCTGGACCGTGGTCGACGCCCATGTGGCCGATCATCTAGCGAAGAGTGGGCCCCAACCGGTGAGAACGCTAGGCTTGCGCTGTGGAATACAGCCAGAGCGTCTCTCGCAGCTCCTTGACACGCTGGTTAACAATGGCATATTTGCCTATGATGAAAGCCAGCACACGTACAGGAACAACCGGGTATCTGACCTGCTCCGCCATGAGCACTGGACTCAATGGCACTTGTGGGCGGACCTGTATCCGAACGAGTTTTTCAACGTGAGCCGGTCGATGCCGGACGCCGTGAAGCTAGGAGAAAGGCGAACGGCGGCACAAATCCAATACGGTACAGACTTGGACCTGTTTGAATATTTCTCCCAGCAGGAGAAACTTGCTCAGTTTCAGAAAACCCTCGGGGCAGGGGCAGTTGCGCAGGCCAAGGGCTTGGTAGCCGACTATCCCTGGGCTGATATCGGACGTGAGCACCCCATTCTGGATCTTGGGGGTGGCTCCGGGTCATTCCTTGCCTCGATACTCCGCGCCCATCCCAACTTAGTTGGGGGTATCATGGATCTACAGTCTGTCATCGACCTGGTCACCCCTGAGTTCCGGGAGGCTACTGGCAAGTTTGCCGATATCGGTCCACGGGTCCAGCAGCTGGTAGTTGGAGACTTCCTCAAACAGATCCCCGCGTCAGCTGTATATACCATGAAATGGTGCTTACATGACTGGGTGGACGATGACGTCATCACCATCCTTCGCAATGTGCGGCGCAGCATTGTCGCGTCGCCAGTCAGTCGGTTCATTGTCTTCGAGTCCATCAAGGTGCCCGGTCGTTCAGGTAGGCTACCCCGTTACGGTGATCTGGTCATGATGATTACTTGCAATGGCAAGGAACGGTCAATGGAAGATTGGGAACGTCTAGGGCAGCTAGGAGGTTGGCGCATCGAGAAGGTCTACCGACTCCGCCGGGCATGGCCGTGTGCTATCGACTTTCGACCTGTCTGAGATATTAGATATCTATGTGAATAAGATTACTCAAGAATTCTCTTTGAAGATGGATGGAACCTATGCCTAATTTCTGAGATTTGGGTAAACAACCTGCTCATGACGTGGACACGCGCCTCAGCACCTGCCACAATAGTACTGCCGGTATCTCCCGCTCTCTCCCTTCCTTCCCCCATATAACCTCCCCCAGATCTAGCACTAGCATCGCCCGATCCATTGTCCAACCTATGGCTGGTGCAGATCAGGAACCAAGCCGCATCATCGGGAATAATTCTTTCATAATTATACGAAGAATCAAGTGTGTTGGAAATCAACCTGGACCTCACGTTGTATATACATAAGTCTGTTGTACTCCCTCACAAAAAACAGAACAATCAATTATTCCTCTGAATTACAACGCATGTCTGTGGGACCCCGTCATGCGACTGATTACCCCGGCGAGAGATCCTGGGTGACAGGCACACACTCCATTTGCATGGAGGGTAAGCCAACCCAGCTGTCTTCCTGTACTGCATCAAGCTGGCTGGCTACATTTTCCGGAACAGACAAAGCATACTGGCGCACCATCTCCGCTGTGATAGCCCTCATCATGCGCTCCGCGGCATTCTTCCCAAGACATTGCCGGGGCCCGAAGCCAAAGCGCCAAAGATTATAGCGCACCTAAAGTGAGTGACATCAGCAGAGCAACCTTGGAAGAAATGAATCCGGTGCCATGGGGATCTAACCTCCTCCTTCTTCAATTTTTGGTAGCGAGTCGGGTCGTACTTGGTACCATTTACCCAGAAAGGGTTATCGATGTTGATCGACTGGGCATCGACAATTACATTGGTCTAAGCGAATGTGAGTGATGGTCAGCATGATCAGGTGTTTTCGGCATCTTGCTTCCGGCACGACAGCTACTTACATTCCGTGGAATGAGGTAGCCATCCACAAACTGATCTTCCGGGGCAGATTCGGGATTAGAGAAAGCTGAAGGGGGCAAATCAGTGGTAAGTATCAAATTCCCTGCCCGTTGTAGGGCCACAACGGGATCGACTCACGTAGGATCGGCCTCAGTCTTGCAGATTCAACTATACAGGCCGCCAGAAAGGTATCGTCACGATCGATAAAGCGCTCATATGGCTCAGCTGCGGTGTTAGTCACAGCTTGAACGATCTCTTCCCTCAGCCGCGTCTGAGCCGGGGCGTTTTGTGCCAGCAACAGCATGTTCCACGAGATAGCATGCGTGGTCACATCAAGATTGGCATACAGGGACTCGTCGAGCGTTTGAAAACACTGACTCAATCATCTCCAGTTAAATGGCTTGCCAATTTCAGGGGACCAGTCAGTACGTACTTCGCGTTCCGTAATTTTGCCAGCTTTCCATGCCTCCCAGAGAGAAACGACCGGCAGACATGGTGCTCGCTTGTCCTGTATAGCGAGCAAGTACGCGTCTTCCACAAATCTCTGCCACTGTTTTTGGAAGGTTTTCAACAGTCCCACGCCTGACCAGGGTAGGTAAGGGGCGATCGAAAGACGATTGACGCCACCGCGAATGACCTCCTTGAACAATTCCTCGCGAAGGGGCGCCAGGCTGACCAGGACCTTGCGTTGTGATGTACTGAGGGGTCCAAAAATAATCTCCGCCATTGTGAAGAAGGGGAAAAGCTGGAGTGCCCGGGCAGGCTCGAAACTGATGGCCCCCGGTATCTTAGTGAGACAAACCGATCCGGCTTTAAGGTCATCCCGGATATATTCCTGAGCCTGGGTTACAAATCTTGCTGTGTATCGCGTGGCAGATGGGCGGGAGAATGGCTCCTCGAGGTGCTGCCGCACTCGCCGCCAGTCGGAACCGCTTAGCAGTCCGACACAGACCCCGAGCACCTCACCAAAAAGCCACCCAGAGTTGTTATTGTTTGCCTTTGTATGACGGTGCGAGGTGCGATAGAACTGGGCCGCATGCGCAGGTGTGGTTAAGACACTGCCCAGTCATCAGCTCTTCTCTCAGTGGCTTATTACTTACAATTCGAAAACACGTACATTTCTGGCGTCCAACCCGACCATATTTGGTAAATGGGGCCCCACCGCTGGCGCCATTCCCGAGCGACAGAACGCCCTTCAAAGAATTTCTCCGTACCTTGACCGTTGGGCCAGGAAAAGCGAGCGTGGGGAAGTGAAAGCAGAGGATATTTCCAACGAAGGAAGGCCTGACAAGGCAACTCATCAGAATCTTCGGGGTGAAATACAGGAGTGCGAGAGCTTACATCGATCAATTTAGAGACCAGCCAGTGAAGAGTTTGCCGAGAGGCCGCGAGGGCCAGCACGAGACAGATGATGATGGGAACTGGATTTGTCATAATCGAACCAGAGCGAACGAGTTCATGCTTGAATTACTGTCGGGCATACCGTAAGTCCTTAACAACAGAAATCCGCTCGTCAGGCGTGGGACTAAAACGGACTCCGTTTTATCGGCCGCCGTCGGAGAGAGATTTGCACAAGGGCGACCGAGCTCTCGGGCCCCTAGAGATCATATACGAACTACCGGAAGTCAACGACGCTCGATGCCGCCGCGGATAATTGTGCTGAATGATCGAGATGATATAACAGATATAATACATCAACCGTTTGAATCCCTTGTTTCACCCGTGGACTGGCCCTAGCTCCACGCGCTCTCCCCTTCCAACAAATTCGCCCTCATTTGATCTCTTGCCGAAGCAGTGATGCAGGAGAAGGCCTCCGATCTGTGTGAGCTCTTTGCTCATTCGGTGCGGCGCACCCCCAACGAACTGGCAGTGGACCATGAGAGTGGCTCACTGACCTACACCGACCTCGATGCGGCATCCACATACCTAGCACAGAAGTTGCAACAGCAGGGCGTAGAAAAAGGCGACATCGTGTGTCTTCTTACCGAGCATGGCACTCTTAACATTATTGCTCTGCTCGCTGTGCTCAAGGCGAAAGCCTGCTACGTTCCCCTCGACCGGAGCTCTTGGTCTATAGAACGCATTGAGACTGTGCTGTCCTCGGTTGATAGCCGTTTCCTCATCAACACAACTGGTGCCTCATTTGAAAACAACAAATATACCATTATTCATCTCCAGAAGGTCGAAATCCCACGCAGTAATGGCAGCAGTGATAACGCCACTGAAGTCAGTACCATCACTGCCCCTGAAGCTCTGGCTTGTATCATCTTCACCAGTGGCAGCACAGGCAAACCAAAGGGTGTCATGATTTCCCATCGCGCGATAGCCAACTACGGGCATACCAGTCCCTTCAATATGGATGTCCAAGCTGGTGACCGTGTGCTCCATATATTGTCGGTAGCATTCGATGGTTAGTCGTCTTCACACAATATCCAGGGATCAACGAAGGAGAAAGTCCAACTAACCGAAGTCACCAGCATCCACCGGCATGCTGTTTTCTATTCTAGGGAATTCAGGCACAGTTGTGCCAGCGTCTATGGATACACTCTACGAAAAAGCACAGACATGCTCGATCCTAGCCTCAACACCCTCGATCCTGGCCACTCTCCCCCTGCCTTCTACTGTCCCCGACAGCTACCCGTCGGTCCATACCATCTTACTCGGGGGCGAGACACCGAATGGACAGCTTCTGTCACATTGGCTTGATTTTGGTGTGCGAATTCTCAACGCATATGGCCCCACAGAGACAACCTGTGCGTCGTTGATGCAAGATGTGGAAGTCTCCAGCGAGACGGGAACGATCCGCAGCAGCATCATTGGCAGTCCCATGCCACAGGGACCGGTCTACCTGCTTCGGGATGATCTCACTCTAGTGGATGACTATGACACGGAGGGCGAGATTGTCATTTCCGGAATTGGTTTGGCGGAGGGATACTATCGTAATCCTACGCTCACAGCCGAGCGGTTCATTACCTGGCGTGGCACACGAGTCTATCGGACGGGTGATCAGGGACGCTGGATTCGTCGCAACGATGGGGCTCGTGTGATGGACTTCCGTGGACGCTCTGATCGAACAGTGAAGAACCGTGGCTTCTTGGTGAATCTCGCCGCTGATGTAGAAGAGCCGTTGAGGATGATGGGCTGTGGCGTCAGCGATGTGTATGCGAGCATAATAAAGTCACGCTTGGTGGTTCTGGTAACACCAGCCTCTGTCGAACTGGAAAGTCTGCGCATTGAGGCACAAAAACGACTGTCCTCCTTCCATTTGCCCGATCATTACTGTGCCGTTGAGCGGTTCCCAATCTCCCCCAATGGCAAGATTGACAGCAGGGCTATTTCCGAGTTGCTTGACCAAAGTCAAGATCGACTTCTTGCAGCCTCTAGTGCGATTATATACGAAGGCTCAGCTGTTGACGATCCTTCTATGAAGTCCGAGCTGCCAGTTAATCTGGCAACAGCTGTTTCTGAATGCATGTGCACCGCACTTGACTTAGACATCCCACGTTCCCAGATAGATTTCAACTTCTTTGCCTTGGGCGGAAACTCACTGGCAGCTCTCCGATTCAGCTCACTCTGTCATGAACGTGGCATCTCTATCACTACCCGAGACATCTACCGCCATCCGACACTGCATGGCATTCTTCGCTGTGCCCATGCCTTGCAGCCAATAGCTCCAGCTATAGAGCCGGACGGTAGAAATACAACGCTGCAAACATCAGCACTACGCGCGGAGGTAGCGGCACAGTTGCATCTGGGGAAGCTGTTGCCGTTGGACACTCAAATCGGCCGATTGACTCCTTTGCAGCTGGAGCTGGCAGCTCCCACTCTAGAGCGCAATGGCACCAACACCAACCAGCTCCAGTTGACGTACCCATTGAGTGATGCGGAGCGTATCTGCAACGCCTGGAGACGGGTTATTGAGTGTGAGCCTGTCTTCCGGACACAAGTCTCCCTTGATGTCGCCTGTGGCGTGCAGATACAGCATGCTCCTCACCTGCGCCAGTCGGAGGGGTCAAAAGTTCGCAGCCACTTCTGTGACCCCGTGGAGCTCACTTTCCGGCGACGCGAAGATTATGAGGCTGCCGTGACTGATCCTGCTCTTTTATATGTCGGCCTCGGTATGCGACTAGACTTCATCAAATTTGTGCCCAATGATACAGGTGACGAGCCCGGGTCAGGAGATACCGGTGAAATTACAATCAATTGGGCGGCTCACCACGTGCTGCTCGACGGCTACTCAGTCGGGCTTATCCTAGCGAAAGTGCAGCGAGCGGTGGAAGGGGGGCACCTGTCCCAGAGTTCATCCTTTCTGGATGCCTCAGAGAAACTGTTAGCGATCCAGGGCAAACGGGATGGTGAAGCGAGGCGATTTTGGGCCGATTATTTGGAATCAGTGCGGTCGCTCCCAGTTCTGGATGACCAGTATCGATCGCAGGAGATCAGTAACACCCCATACCGTGCTCAGGAAATACGCTTTTCGTGTGCGGAACATCTGCCGCAGATACAGAGGCTGGCTGAGGAATGCAAAGTCACCTTGGCCACCGTCTATTATACCGCATGGGCGATGGCACTGGCACAGTATACAGGCCGGCACCTGGTGGTCGTGGGAGCCGTCTTTTCTGGCCGCGAGACCCAGCTGGAGCACATCGACACGATCGGGCCGCTGATGGCTACATTGCCCCTCCTCTGCGAGCTGAGAAGAGATGCATCCATTCCACAGCAGCTTGAGGCCGTCATGGAGGGACTAGCGACCATCAGTGCGTATGCATGGTCGTCGTCAGATCAGATTGGCTACCGGCTGGACAACTTGATGGCCACACAGTACGACTTCCCGCAAATTGAGACTACCCTCGTCCCGAAAGAGGAACGATTCTTTGAAAACACCACATTTTCTCTTAGTCTCCTAGCCGAAAAGGACTCTGGGTTCCGTCTGGTGTATGACCCAGCCGCCCACAGTGACCGACGCATGCATACGCTATCCCAAGCTATGAAAAGCGCCTTAAATACATTGCCCGATGCCACGACGATCGGCAGCTGGCTGGATTATGCAGATGGTGCTTTTGAGAAATTCGGTGACAACTCGACGCTTGGAATGGAGTGTGGTGCGCCCCGGTCTCATTACACCCCAGAGACGCATATCGCAGAGGCCTTTGGGGTAACTGCAGACCGACATGCTCATCTTGCTGCGCTAGAAGGATCGGAGTGCACCTTGTCCTATGCGGAACTAGACCAGCTCTCTAATACGGTGTGTTCCCGGCTTCGTCGAGACATTCCCAATGCAAAGACAGTTGCTATCCACGCTGATGGCTCTATCAACTGGATCGTAGGAATCCTGGGCATCCTCAAATCGGGCTCAGCTTACTGTCCGCTCGACCCCGCCTATTCGATGGATCGACGGGTTGAGGTATATACTCGCAGTGGAGCGGATGCGCTGTTGATACCAAATGCATGTCCCACTGCTATGCTGCAGTTGCCGAATATCCATGTACTGGTTGTCACGGATCTGCTAGGCCATACCGCGTGCGATGCGATATCTCACCGTCTTCCCCTACCCGCAAAAGCGAACGATGATGCCCTCATTGTCTTTACTTCTGGGACGACAGGTCGTCCAAAGGGTGTCCCAATCAGCCATCGGGGGTTGCTGGCATTACAGTCAAACCCAGAAGCCACCATGTTCGGCTGTCCAGGTCGTCGTATTGCTCAATTCATGTCCCCGGCGTTTGATTACTGCGCTAACGAGATATTTTCTGCCCTACTTCATGGGGCTACTCTGGTTCTTCGTGAACCCAGCGACCCGTTGGCTCACCTTGCAAAAGTGGATGTCGCGACTATAACTCCCTCCGTGATGAGCGCCTTAGACCCGGCTGAATATCCTAATCTACGCATGGTAAGACACTTTCTAGGTCCTTCACAAGTTCAATAGGCACTATTATTCTGTTCAATAACTAAAAAACTATTCACAACAGGTTTATGCCACAGGAGAACCTGTCACCCCAGGGTTATTAGATCGGTGGGCTGCAAATCGCGTATTCTACAATGCATACGGCCCCGCTGAGGTATGTGACTGCCAGCACAACGGACACGCACAGCCCGCTGATGGTTTTCTGTAGTGTTCTATCTGCACATCCTTCACACGGTTGGTTCCCGGCCAGCAGGTGACGATTGGGCAAGCCATCCAAACCGCAAGAATGTATATTTTAACTCCAGAGCTACATCCCGTGCGCGATGGTGCCACTGGGGAAATATTCCTCGCTGGCCAACAGGTGATGCGCGGGTACATCGGGGATGATCAGCAAACAGCACATCGCGTATTGCCTGATCCCTGGCATGATGGCGAGCGAATGTATCGCACGGGTGACTACGGATACTGGACAAATGACCAGCAGATCTGCTATGTCGGTCGAGTGGACCGCCAAGTTAAGGTTCGGGGGTTTCGTGTAGAGCTTGCTTCGGTTGAGATGCGAATGTACGAAGAGGAGCCCCGGCTAGTACAGGCCGCTGTACTGGTCGTTAATGACAACCTGGTTGCATTTGTCATGCCTTCTTCGATTGATGTGGCCCGTCTGGAAGAGAGACTCCGAAAAACCCTTCAGCCAAGCTGGGTACCGCAGATTATCACGCCCCTGGATGAATTCCCCTGGACAACAAACCGCAAGGTGGACTATCAGAGGTTGAAGGAAATCGGCATCCTTGGTAAGACTGAATCACCAATTCCTCCGACCGGGCCTCTGTTGGACCCCATTGCGGAGGGAATTGCGGGAATTTGGAAGATATTACTTCGTTTGGTGGACAATGTAGCACTCGGGCCCGACGACGACTTCAGGCGCCTCGGTGGTCACTCTATCTTGCAGATGCTACTCGCTGCTCGTCTTGCGAGCTCTTACGGCATTGCGATGACGACACGGGACGTAATTGAGCATCCCACGTTGGGAGAACAGACAGGCCTGGTCCAGTCTCGTCAACGTCAGGCCCCCCTATCCAAGAACTTGACTATCTGCAAGGCCCTTCCTGATCATTATCTGTCTGAGTTGGAACGTCAGACCTGGTTCCAGTATCTTGTGGCATCGGATGTCCGTACGTTCAACATTCCTGTCCTCCTCCATCTTGATGGTAAATTCGACCGCCAGCTCCTTATTCAGTCTCTGAATGGGGTACTAGCATCACGCAAAGTACTCCGCAGTAATTTTATTGAGGCTTCGACGGGACCGATTCGGGTCTTCCGCAATGCCCCACCTCGAGTGCAGGAATGCAGATCAATCTATGTTGCGAGAGAGGTTGCCAGGGGCTTTGACTTGGCTCGTGATGAGCTCGTCCGTGTTTTTATGGACCAACAGACTCTGCTGCTTGTCATCAGCCATGCCATTGCCGATCTGAACAGCGTACAGAATCTGTTCCGGGAAACAGCAGATGTCTATCGAGGCTCGACTGCCCAAGTAAATCGATGGAACTATCTACAAGCATCTACCTGGTCTCGCAAGGCAACCCCTGAGGAACGCCACTTCTGGACACGTTACCTCGACGGCGCGCCTCAACGACTCTCCATCAACCGTCAACTTACTCAAACGAGCTTTGAGGGCACGTCTCGTACCTGCCACTTTGAGGGAACTATGATTCACGGACTCAGAGCATTGACGCAAAGGTACGGCGTGACCAAGCACCAGATTGTCTGTGCCGCGACTGCTCAGATGCTGCAGTGGCTCTGCGCGACCGATGACGTGGTTTTAGGCTGTCCGTGGGAAAATAGAACGTCCGACCTCGAGCGACGGTCCGCGGGTTTATTCCTGGATAGGCTGCCATTGCGCATCAAGACTCCACCAAATGCAGACTGTGCAGGCATCCTGGAATCAGTGCGCGAAGCGAGCCAAAAGGCAGTGGCTTATGCAATCCCTTTCGAACAGATTCTCGACATCCTCCATGTCCCGCGCACCATCCGGCAGCATCCGATCTTTGAAGTTATGGTCACATTCCATTTGAAGGGAGCCATTGAGGACTGCCTCGATATCGACGGGCTCGATGTGCAGCGCGAGATGTGCTACGCGCCAGGATCCAAGTTTTTGCTCATGTTCGAATGGACGGAGCTGGAAGTGGACCACTGGGTTCTGCGCACTGAATATGACCATCACCAGATTGCGCCTGCCACCATCACGGTCATTGATCAGGCCTTACGATGTGTCTTGGAAGGATTGTCTTTGGAACTCTCGCGCCCAGCCATCGAGAAACGTCTGGCGCATACCTTCCCGGAGACTAAAGAGGATAGTAGCTGCGAAGGTGAGAGCGATGATGAAAATGCCCTTTGCGACCGGCTTGTGTATATCCTTCGCCGGGAGATGGCAGCCTGTCTGAGCATTGATCTTGCCGATTTTCCCTGTTCGGTGTCTTTCTTCGAAGCTGGGGGGAACTCTATCGACGTATGGCGATTGCAGCGTCAGCTGAAGCGGGTTGGCGTGGATATGCCGATTTGCACAGTCTTTGAGCTACCCACTGCCCAGGCCCTAGCTCGGCACATTTGTAAACGAGTGGATTGGCTTGGATCTGAATGACAAACGGGGTGGTGAGAGATGGATTATAAATGTTTTTGGGTGTTTTTTCTATCCTTTTTGAATGCGATATCCTGTTGGGAGCCTGACCTGCGAGGCCACCTGGGTGACAGGACCAGATAACTAGCAGATAGCTCTCTCCCTCTCTCCTTTCTCTCTTCTTCTCTCTCTCCGTGGGATTCGCTCGGAATGTATCACAGTCTTTCTCCATTCCTCCTTGCGTACCCTTTCCATCATATCCTCGGCTATACTATGGATCCGAAGCAAGCCTCGAATTTCAAACATAGGCGTGATGGATCGTTTCATATTCCGGATTTCGGGATCTTCGATATTTTATGTCACGTCGAATAGCAACCCAGAATTAAAACTGCGATATCCTGTAATATACGACCGAGGGGTGAGCTTTACACCACACCCCCTATTTCTCCCCTCCCCGTGGAGTGAATCAAAAGCCATCATGACCATGTATTTCTTTGGTAGATATATTGAGCTAGGTAGCCAGTGACCTACATCTCTTCCGTTCATCTAGCAGCTGTCCCTTAATATCCTCGCTCCATATCTCGCCAATATCATCACCAAGGAACGCCACTGTTGTAGCTTTCGCCTGACGAGAGAATCTTTCCACTTCTTCCATTACCCGGATGAGATTTCTACCCATTATATCCTTAACGTCAGTCTCGGCAACCCCCCTACTCAGAATCCCTTCCACCAGAGCTGGGTATTGTGCAACATCCTCCAATCCGTCAGGCCCCCGGAGCATCCCGTCAAAGTCGGATCCAATGCCCACGTGCGAGTATCCAATTTTCTCACCTATGTATATGATATGGTCGATAACTCGGGAAAGAGTGGCTCCAGAGTCAGGCTTCGCATCTGTGAGTTCCCTCAAGAAACAGACCATGATGATTCCACCGTTACGCTGAAGAAGCCGAAGATTGTCATCTGTGACATTGCGGGGATGCGGACAGATTGCGTAGCTTTTTACATAAGTTAGTTTAAAGAGTTCAGACTTTCCTTTTGCAAGATCGGGTTAACGTTCCAATCCGCAGATCATGTTACCTGGATGAATGTGAGTATATGACCGGTGCTTCTGACATTTTCAAGGTTTCCTCTTGGACCGCATGAGATGTATGGGAAAGGTCGATAATCCTAGTGATAGAAAGAATGCGTCAACAATGCCAGTCAGAAGAATGGATGGAACGAAGTGAGACTTGCATGCCAATGCGATTCATTTCACCAAGAAGCCTTCTCCCTGTTTGGGACAAGCCGGAATGTAGTGGCGTGGATACTGTCTATACGGTATTAGCCCAATTCTCAAATGATGTCATAATGCTCAAAACACTGACCGCTGCATCGGCAAATACGTTGTGGCAGTTGTGCGTGAGTGTCACATATCGGACTCCAAGCCGGTGAAACATCCGAAGCACGCTCATACTATTGCCGATTTGATGCAAACCTTCCACCCCGATTAGACTAGCAATGCGTCCCGAGCGAAACCCATCTAAGATGCTGGCTGCTGAGTCCGCTAATACTAGGGTATCAGGATGCATCTCGATGAGCTGGTGAATGAGATCAATTTGCTGAAGAGTTTTGTGCAATTGAACTACGCAACCTTGTTCTTGCTCCTCGGGTGTTGGACTAGATGTCCCCCGTCAAGTCACCACACAGATAGAAGAAGCTTTGGAAAGAAGAATAGACCTTACCAGGGAACAAATGCACTCCAGAACTGGGCCCCGACTGACCCGGCTTGAAGGCGCAAGATATCCGTTTGTCCAATGGGCATATCATGAATGGTAGATTCTTTCCCATTGATCTGATTTTGAAGCCAGCCTCTGATAATGTACGGAAAGTCATTATGGCCATCTAATTGATCTATGAGCTTATTTGTCAAAGGTTACAAACAGGACTCGCCACTCACCAATTAGGGGTACCTCCTTCAACAGACGTGCAGCCTGTTCTTTGAATGTATCTTCCCGGGTATGCATGTCGCTTACCAGTGGACATTGATCAGTTAGGGATGCTATAGATTGACTACTCAATTATTTACTTTCTTATAGACTAATATCCGTATGCCGATTCGGCGACCGAAACCAGAAGGAGGCCGAAACCGGGGGGCCAGCTACCAGCAGACTGTGTACGATATGTACTATCCACGATCCCATCCTGATATTACACGAAAGATCTACTTGCTAAAGTTGATTATAAGGTCAAAGCTATCTCGAACTGGCATTTAACGCACGAAATGAGCCTTCGGAAATGGCGGAAGATAAATCGACCCTATCGTACGGCTACCCACCCTGCAAAACGTCTTAATTGGGCTCTTACCTATGATCACTTTACACCGGAGGATTAGAAAAAGGTTTTTTAGTCAGATAAAACTATTGACTACGTGGGCAAGGTGCTCGGAAGGAGTGGACATTTTATTCCTCCTAGGGAGCAGCTTCAGAATCGAAATTCCGTTCAAATAACACTCTCGAAAGGGAAACAGACAAAACACTCACAATTAAATGTCCTAGTATGTACGCTAAAAGCTTGACTAAGATATTATGGTCCTACCATACATGGGTAGGCACAGCTGTCTAACCTAGTTAAGTTGAGTAACCTCAGCGCCTAGTTTTCAGTACAAGTGCCATTTTCTATGGTATCGCCTCAGTAAAAGAACAGTGGACTTCTTCACATAGTACTTCCATAATCCCATGTTGATGGGAATTGCTGCAATTGCATTTAATTTGTATGGGAATAGCTTCATTTTGCCTGTTTTTCAAGGGTTGAACTTCCTTGGAAGGTTCCAAGTCGCTCCATGGGTGCAGCAGGTAGTTGCTTATTAAGGTCCCCCGAGGTCCACGGGTCTGTCATAGTAATCAATAAAAAGGAGTCTATGAATGAGTTTTTTCTTTTTTTGCCAAGTAAACCTAAGAGAGACAGAACTTACTGGGAGGAACTGTGATTTACGTAGACTTAATGTAGATAGAAAAATGTGTAGCGAAAGGATATCCTAAGACTAACGCGCTCTAGGTGAGTATGCGACTTTTCTGAAAGAGTAGGTTGTCATCGTTGTCATCTGCAATTACCTCCAGGGCTCGAGGGCGACACTAATTGGATCCGAATACGATCCGAATAGGGAAAGTTCAACATTTTATTGGCTTGGACTAATTTAACTAATTTATCTAGGACTAGTGTCCTTTTCAAAGTTATATGTTATATCATGTTTACCATTGACATATATCTTAGCTGGATCGAGCTTTTCATCCCAACTCATCCGAATTCCAATGACCCGTTCATCACCGCTAAACGGGAACCAAACAATGAAAGAAGATACCCTTAGGCGCAGGAATATCAATGGCTCGCAACCCGAGATTGGAAATGGCCATACAAGCCCAAACTCAACCCCATACCCCAGAAAGTCTCGCTCTCTTCTCCGTCGCTGCAGGCATTTCGCGGGTAAGCACACGTGGACAATTCCGCTAGCTCTCGTGCTGGCCTTCCTCTCACTATATACGCTCAACCCGACCGAGTCAAACCCAATCTCTCATTTCATATTCCTCTCTTACAGAGAAGGAACCCCAAATAGCGACCCCAATGCCCCGACGCAGTATGGCAAGGGTCCGTGGGACATAGCATTCGTGTCATTCTATGTGATCGTGCTATCCTTCACGCGCGAATTCATCATGCAAGAAATTCTTCGCCCTCTAGCAGTCTCGCGCATCAGGTCGCGGGGAAAGCAGGCCCGCTTCATGGAGCAGATGTACACCGCGATGTACTTTGGAGTCCTCGGTCCTGCGGGCTTGTATGTCATGCGCCAGACGCCGGTTTGGTACTTCAACACGCGTGGCATGTACGAACTCTTCCCGCACAGAACGCACGCGGCTGAGTTCAAGTTTTACTATTTGTTCGAGGCGGCCTATTGGGCGCAGCAGGCTATCGTTATGCTGTTGGGGATGGAGAAGCCGCGGAAGGACTTTATGGAGCTTGTCGCGCATCATATTGTGACATTGGCGCTTATTGCGCTCAGCTATCGCTTTCACTTTACGTATATGGGCATTGCTGTTTATATTACGCATGATATTAGTGATTTCTTCCTTGCCGTAAGTCGCATCTCTCCTGGTTTCGACTCAACCAAAAATATTCCGCGCACCATTGACAATTTCCCCAGGTTTCAAAATCGCTCCATTACATTGCCCCGGACATAATGATGCCCTTCTACGCAACGTCGATTGGCGCCTGGATATATCTACGCCACGTACTGAACCTTCGGATCCTTTATTCCCTTCTAAGTGAGTTCCGAACCGTCGGACCCTATGAGCTCAACTGGGAGACTCAACAGTACAAGTGCTGGATTTCGAATGTCATCACTTTCGGACTGTTGGCTGTCCTCCAGGCTCTCAATTTGTTTTGGTTGTACTGTCTGCTACGCAGCGCTTTCAAGTTCCTCGCGACAGGGGAGAAGAAGGACGATCGCTCTGAGCCGGATGAGTCTGAAATTGAGCAAGATGAATTCAAGCTTGTTGGAGAGGTTAATGGCCATGCTTCGTTGAATGGCGGTTCATCGCCCAATGGCAAGTCCCAGCATGCCACTGGTGCTGGTATCTCTGTTAAGGCTAATGGGGCTCGTCAACGATGATCGTGTGGCCTAGTCCTTCCTGTGGATGCACGCACTGTGAGGAGCACGCAGGTTGACCTTTCGCCTTACCACGCATTAACTTCGCTGTTCAACGAGTTCGAACAGAAGTATTGCTTGGTCCGTTTTAATCCGTCATCTCGTGCTATATATCATGTCGATTCGGTTTTATGTGTCGTTGCTCTTTGTTCGACTGTTGCTGTTGCGATGTCTGAGTTTGTGCGATTAGATGTACCATACTAGGAGATATTACGTGGATATAATAATGATAATGTACACTTGGACCGGGATTCAACCAATGCTAAATACATAGATAATCCATTCCAATAGGTTATCTGCAACTTGCAGGAATTATATATTCAGTCAAGGCTATGCTCGTACCTCATTACTCGCACCATATATCATGAGGAAGACGGGTAAACATCTAACAAAACTCCAGAGCTATGTGCGAAAGTGTGGGATCTACAAAATCTTTTTAAACAGTGTTGTACCACAATATAATCAAGAGAAGCGCAGTCCTTTGCTAGGATCCCAGGTTCCCGGTTGAGGGGCACGAGTGGGCTGCCCCAGTGCTGGCCCAGTTCCTGTACTGGGGGTAGCGTTCGGAGGGGCACCGGCAGATCCGAATCGAATCCCCATTTCGGGCGTCCACATACCCGGCATACCCCCTGGCATGCTCGGCGTAGAAACTGGGGGCGGGGCTACCGGCGCGCGCACCGGTTGGGGTGCCGTGAGAGGAGTTGCCGTCTCGGCTGGTCGTACGTTGTGAACGGGCGGGGGTGGCTGTGATGGCACATGGGCAGACTGCCCGGCTGAGTAGACGGAGGGAGAGTGATGGGTTCGAGGTGACTCCTGAGGTTGTTGGCGCAGGTGTGGCTGAGAAATATGCAATGAGGCCATCGCTGTGGCATTGGAGATATCTCTGGTTCGGGGAAATTTAACGTCAGCGATAATATGTTAGTTTAGTGATGGGTAATAACACATACGCTTCCAGCTGGCTTGCTTCCATCCGACGCTGATGGACAAAGGCCTTTGCATCGTCGCGGAATCGGACTACAATCTTCGCAAGATCATTGTAAAACTTTCGCCCGACATCGAGGTTGGAAATGATCTCCTTATACTTCAGGTATCCATTTTCCAGATCCTGCAGTGCCGCTTCTCGTTCCTTTGTCGACGCGTCACCCTTATGAGACCCAGTAAATGCCCGGTTAGCCTCTCGGACTTGGTCCGAAAGATGATCTTGCTCTCTCCGCTCCTGGGCCAGCATCTCACGGTCCGAATCATATAGCTTCAACTGCTCCTCGAACAGATCTTCGAACTGGCTTGCCTGGATAGTCTGCATGGGGAATTCTCGCTCTAGTCGAGCAGTCTGCATCAAAAGTGCCGGATCTAAATGCGATTCATTAGTAGAATCAAAGACCAATGAAAAAGAAAACACGTACGTATATCATCGGAGCGAGCTTTGTCCTTCAACGTTTGAATTCGCCGCCTCCGCCGATTCTCCATTCGAGTGACCTCGCTCAAACAGCCCCGTAACCGGTTAGACTCACGCTCAACCTCCGGTGGAATAACGACCCTCCGGCTACTAGGTACAAATGATTCCAAGTCCCGATTCGTGCCAGTGAGAACGATAAAGACAGACTGTGAATCTCGCAGCTTGCGCTGGACGAGGTCATCACTGCCCTGGGCGGAGGTGAAATAGCCGTCGATTTCGGTCAAACTCTTGTAGAGCTTAGGTGCAGCAGATTCTGAGGTCCCGCGCGTCCAACGATCGGTGCCGTATTTATGGCGAGCTGCAAGGTCCTCGGCCTTTTCAGCTGCTAGTAGTTCAACACCTTCATTATACACAGCCAGGTCGTTGCCTTTGACTCTGGCAGTGTCTTCGATAGACCGGTGCAAGCGATTCAGACCATCTTGTTGGCGCATTTCCTCCGCATGCGACACAAGCATTGGCGGGAGACCTAATGGTTTTTCGAGCGCTTGTAACGACCCTGGCAAATTGAGCGATGAAAGCAAGCTTGAATCTGGTGTTAGCAAAATTTCTCTTAAGAATCTCGGTATTTCCCTGGAATACGTACTCTCGCAACTTATCGGTCATCGACTCCAGCTCTCCAATGAGAGTATCATTGACCAGTCGGTCTCGACGATCAGTGTAAATACTAGCAGCAATGTGCACTGCGTATGGGACCAACTTCGAGAACAGCGGTTGTCCCAACGGTCCGTTATCGCCAAGCATAGAGATCGCATCCGTAACCTGCGAAGGCGCTTTGGCAAGAACCATGCTGGCACGCTCGATAGTCTTGAGCTCAGACTTGGGCGGCACGGGGTTGATGTAGATCATGTCATTATCCTTCTCGGCACGCTTGAGGTCTTCCGCGACGCGGCTCTTCAATCCATTCAAGTCACCTAGTACAGTCCGATTAATCCACCGCTGCTCTTTCAAACCTTCACCGACACAAATCAGACAATCGCGCAGCCGAGCAACCTCTTCTCCATACTTGCGCTTCTCCAGGCAGTCAAGCGCCTGTCGGAATTGAGCAGCAGCAGCAAAGTGGTGGTGCTTTGCAGTCATGTGGTGGATCCAGTCCGTGCTGATTGCATTAGACTTAACAGCCAAGTCGCCTGCATCGCCGTAGAAGTCAGACACCTTGGCTGCCAGTTTCGCAATAGATACATCTTTTAGTCCATCTTTAACAGCTTTCTGCCAGAAGCACTCCTGGCCCTGTGCGAGCAAAAGATGTTCCAAGCTCCGCAGTGTCATTTCGTCCATGTCCTCTGGCGGCGACGTTCGAAGGTCTGGGATGATATCGGTTCGAAGGTGGCTCAGTACTCCAGCGGCGGAGCAGAGGTAGTTGCACGCCTGCTTGAGTCCATCTGCGGTAGTCCGGTTGGTCGCATATGCAAGCTGAGAGTATAATGCTGCGAGATTGAATATGACATTCGCTAGTTCGAAGCGCAAGTTATTTTGTGATACTAACCGCCCCGATTCATTCTTATTAGTCCTCATATCCATTAAATCGGACGCATGCGGAGGGTGTGGGCGCAAGAGACCAACTCACCTGGCCGCGAAGTATTAAAGCCAAAAGCTGGATACCACGAAAAGTCCACCCCGACCTATATAGCATGCCGACCGTAAGCTTTCAATGCCAAAATCAAAGAGAACTAGAAAGAGTGGCACACATCAATTGGGAACTTTCCACCCAACCATTTCAGCTGAGCTGCATATGTGACTAGGCGACTGATGCCACTAAAATGCGGTTCTTGGACATTGACGGCCTCGGATCGTAGGCGGTCAATGATCATCAAATCCTCAGCAAACATGTCCGGGCGCTGGTCATATTTGGACGAGATGTACTGGGTGATGGCCCCGGAAAGCGAGACGGCATGGGACCGCCGGAACGGGAGTTGGAGGATATTACTGTATAGATCACAAGGAGGACAGGTCAGTGGCATTCCTCCCTTCTCACGGGTGCTCGCATGCTGCTTGAGGTACTCACGACGCCATTATCACTCGAGGCGGGGGTGTGGAAGACTCCGTTTGTTTTGACGGCGGGAGGTTCAACCCCACCAGGCAACGGGATGACGCTTGATCGCCTGAGGCATCAATTGATTATTTCGAAAGATACATGCCTAAGAACACTCTTCATTCGACATCGACACTACCCCTTCCATTTGGCGCTTGCTAAGAGTTATGAACTGACGTGTCTTACGCCCAGGCTGCTTTATTACTCACATATGCTTTTGCTGGATAATAGATGAAAGAGGTCTACGCCCATGACTCCTCGCTGAGAACGTCCCACGACCAAAGCGCTCATTATCCTTACTTGTCCTTAAGTATTGACCTACCTGGGTATACTTAAAGGCAGTTCCTTCCCAGGACAATTTCATTCCTAGCTATGCCATAAGAGTCCGGTCACATATGCTCCAGCTGATCAAGGACCGGCTTCAGGTCCTGCGCAGAAGCGCTGGAGAGTTCGACAAATTCGGCTGTCTATGTATTAGCGCCGGGCTGCCCTAAGCAGGAAGTGAAGCTGTACCATCATCAGTCCCATCAATGACAATCTCATGCATCGCTCCGCTCAAAAAAAAGGGTCGCAGGACTCGTATTGGACTCCGACTGACGGGGGAATTGGGTTGGGATATGAAGACGAGGATAACTCGGTGATTCTAGAATGAAACACGCCCTTGGTCAACGTATGTTCCGCCTACATATGAAACAGTCTCACTGAGGCCAAAATGCTGCGTGTCATGGAAAAATGACAGTTTACATCGGTCTTGCGCCGCCGCCGTAGAGCTGGCATCACTGAATGCTTCTCCCACGGATGGGGATGTCAACAGATAGGCTTCCCCAGGGTTCCCGATAATAATGGACACCTTCTTAGAGACCAAGTTTCCAGTTGTGTCTTGGGTGATGAACTCCGTGGTGATTTTATGGAAATGGCGAGCCCGAGAACCCTGTGTGACAAGGTGCCGCGAAAGGGGGCGAGCAGCATTGCGAAACATGACCAATCTACCCATTATGTCTGTAAGATTAGACAGACAGGTAGATAAGGACAGACGGGTAGCGATGATAATACATCCTACTTGGGATGGAAGTGGAGGATGGTCAACCTAGCTAGGGGCTGTTCTCTGGTACAATCACTTCTCTCTCTGCCACCTCCGCCCAGTCTGAAGGCGGCTAATGTGAGTACAACCGTGTCAATTTCCTTGGCTATTCACTCATACATCCGAGGTAGTAAAAGGAAGACATCGGCGCGTTTTGAGCCTGCCAGGTCATGATCGAATTTGTTAGCCAAGCAGGGGGTGCCCTGTGTCAGACATGGCCAAACGGATATATGAGGTGCAGCACCATTCAGGTGCTCAACGCAAGAGACCTATTAATTGACACGCTATACCATTTTGGGATCATGGTTTGGGTTCCTTTGTTGGGCATTACGGAGATCGACGTGTTTGCTCCCTGTATATACCCCCCGGTTGGTTGGTAGACCTCTGGCCTATAGATAGCCGCTTTCCCCCGGTCTGACAGAGCTATCATGTCGCCTTTCACAATCTATCCGACCTGTTCTATTCTACTATTTCCAATCTGTTCTGACCCGCAACCCGGTGCAAACCCGGTCCTGTTGTGACAACTGACACTGCCATGTCCGCAGGTCATCGTACGTCTCTCTGCTTAGTAGCTGGGAATGCATCTGACTTACTATCTGCTAGCGTATCGCCGCCTTGAAGCGCCGGATGAAATACCATTCGAGCTGAGACCCTCACCAGGCAAAGGCTGGGGTGCTTTCGCCACAAGACGCATTGACCGAGGATCCCTAATTTTGAGTGAAAAGCCAACCTTCGTTATCCGGATGTCGCATACCGAAATCACGGATTACCATGTTACTATGGCCTTTCAATAATTGCTGCCCAGCCAACAAGCACAGTTTTTGCTCCTTCGCGACAACGGGTCAAGCTGTTTTACGAGTATGAATGAAGCTTTCGCTGAAAACTCGTTCAACATCGCAAATTCAGACCAGCACGAGCCCGAAGCCCATGGCCTTTTCCCCCTTCACTCACGCTTCAATCATTCCTGTATACCCAACTCAGAAGTTCCAACTGTTACTGGAGAGGCCATTTCAAGCTTCGCGACCAGGGACATAGCCGCTGGCGAGGAGATCAATTTCTGTTATAATCCAGGCTTCCAAGGCAGGACTAGATATGAGCGTCATCAAGCCCTACGTTTTACCTGCCATTGCGTGGCGTGTCTACCTGGCACTCCCTTCCAACAGCTTAGCGACATGCGACGGCGATTGATTCGAGGGCTTCAATACCTTTCGCATGGCGTGGACTTGGATGGGCAAAGACAAAGTTCGCATTCTATTATTTTCGACTCTAAACTGAAGTTTGCCGCGGAAACTTTCAGTATAACTCTATCATCTAGGTTGATTTACGCCCTGCTCATGATTCTCTTTCTCGAAGAAGAGGGATTGCTAGATGATTCTATGGACTCAAGGCTAAGGCCGAGCTTAACCAAAACGGTGCAATTATTCAAGTCAGAAAGCAACCAAAGCATTGCCGAGCTAGCCATGGAACAGAAAACCTGGGTAAAGAAATTGGAAGTTGCATTCAAACTGTATGGCCGAGAAGATGCTGCCGACTATGAGGTTACCCTAGCGCTACGACAATTGCGTCTGTTGTTTTAATTCCTTCCCTTTCGTACATACGTCACTTCGGATTTCGACACTCCATTCTGCTATTTGCTAAAAATGAGCCTCAAGCCCATCCATGTATGTATGTGGATAATAAATACAAGAAAAGACCTCAATGTCCAACGCACAATGCAAAGAAAATATTCAACAGGTGGACCAACATTTCATCCTAACATGATTGCCGTACCTCTATCCCCGGGGGGTTCAGTTCGGCAGCTCATCGATGCGTATTCTAATGTATTCGAAAATGCTGAGCAGGATCATGTTGTTGACGCCGGTCCGGATAAGAATTATGGAAAGGCCCTTGTACATGCTGGATTTGGCGACAGCCTGGGAGGCCTCGCCAATCTCGCTGGATTTGCCTAGCAGAACACTCTGTGCGCGTGTCTTGCGCGTATCGAGGGGATAAGTCTACGAGTCACGTCAGTGCCTGTTCATCATGAAATGGGGTATCGGTCTGATAGCGTACGCAGAACCAGGGTACAGTGCTACAAACAGCACCAGCAAGCATAGGTGCCCCGAATGGGTTCTTGTCCTGACCCAACTCCTTGGCTGCTACTTGCTTGACAGTCTCGTAAACACTGAAGTACAGTCCTGAGCCCACAGTGTCGCGCAACGCATGCAAGCGGAAACCGGTGTAAAGGCCCCAGAATCCATGTCGTACGTATATCTGCTTGATGGCTTGGACAGTCCCCAATCGGGGTTTGTGACGCAGTGATGGGTCTCGGGCTGCGTCCGGGGCAGCCATCGCGCGGTTCGACACTAGAACAGAGGTCTGGACGACATTCTTCGCCAGCTCGAAGGGGCCTGTTTCAACGTCAGCCCGTTTCCTCCCACTCTCTCATGTGATCAATGTAAACATACAAGCAATGGGCGATGCCAGCAAGCCAGCGAGGAGGCCTGCGGTGGTGAAAGTAAGCACACCCGTCACGGTGGGTGTGCTTCCAGGCTGTTTATAGTGGTGTAAAGGGTTGGAACCAGTCACACGCTCGACGTTATCAGCGATTATGTCCTTGAAGGCATTGTACACCGTAAAGTTGACGACACGGACTACCGTAACACTCGCCAAGGGTGGAAGCGCCCCTGTGTTAGGGTCAGTCGAGCTCGGATCCTTCAGCTACTGACTCATGAATACCGACTTACCAGCTACATATCCCCGAGGCCCTTCAGTACGCCAGAGATAGCGAACACACTGCCATATGTTCTTAAAATTGTGTCTTTGATATCAATTAGCATACTAGTCCCATCTCTAAGGTCACATATAATACTTACGTCTGCATGCGAGTCTTGACGTTCTCTAAAGGAGTCTGCCATCGAATTACGAAGGATTAGCATGTTTTACATCCCATACTAGAGTGGCAAATAAAGGATCAAGATTTCAAGCAAATGCCCGAGGAATAAAGTACTCACCACCGCCAGCGTCGCGCAAATGGTCGACGCCCCGGAAGCCACCTGGGTTTTGTACTTTTTGAGGAGTCTGTTGCGAGTGGCCTCATCCATATTCCAAGCTTTGCGGTCTGGCATAATGGCGGTACTTGTGTGGTGAGTAGACGAGGATAAAGGTGCATGTTCAGAGCTGTTGTCACTAGTCATCCCTGAACGTTCTCCATTGGCGGCAGCGAGGAATAGCTATAACAATGTCTCTCCGGTCGTGACAGAATGTTGTATTCTGCACAGACTCTTAACCTGCAGGCTGGGGAACCCGATGGAACGCAAAGCGGTCTCTCAGAACTCGAGTAGACCGTTCAGCGTCCCACAATTGACCATTAAACGGGCTCCACCAACCCAGTTCTATCTTCTGTCTGTTGAAAAGTACCCAGGCAGGTCCTTGCAGTATAGATAGGCGAGTTTAGATCCGTCTTTGCAGGTTATGACGTAGGTTCGATATTGGGTGGCCGAAACAATGACGGCCACGGCAACGGATGCAACCCCGCGTTCACAAATGGTATCTAGGGGGTATGGTACGGGATTGAGTGGTCCAAGTGACGTTCTGGGAGAGTCCCCTGTTCTAGACAGTCGGGATACTCTTACCCAAGATGTGTCGTCTATTGCAATGGGTTACTGACAGTGATTGGGAGCTGTGGGGAGTCGACCATTAGCATCAATTCGATTTCCCCGCGTTTCTCGATAGCAGGACAAAACGGAGTGGGAGCTTCTCAGTCGGACGAGGGGGACTTACCGACGATATTCTCACAATATCCACCAGAAAGAAGGTGGCCTAATGCAATGTGAAGAAGAGGAAGAGAGAAGTGTAGTAAAATGGCATGTGGACCGAGCTTAACTTAGGCGCTCAAAGCAGTTTAGGGCCAAACAGAGTGACGTCGTCGTGAAGCAGCGGAGAACAGTGGACATCTTGGTGCTACCCCCGGGTTAGTTTTAAACATCCGTGGACATCATGGAAATGGCATTGTTTGATCTGTTGTGTATGTACCCATGCTAAGACCCTGATCTTATTCTATCAGGAAATTGATCACACTATCTCTATCTTGGCACCGCCGAGGCACATCTGCCGGTCGCGGTCTGATCATGTCATCTTCTATACAGTTCTTGCAGAGACAGGAATAATACGTTATGGTGTACAGAGTATGCAAAGCAGACTTTGGGAAGATCACGGTTAGACCACGGATCATAGTGATCTGTACAATATATGTGGAGGACAGTAGTCCGTGACCGGGTTGGGCCCCACGTACGGATTGGGCTCATTACCACCCACCAATTGATCACATCCATCGAAACCGTGGAATGATTGTAAACCAGATTCCACACTCAAATCCAACCACCTTGCCGTGGCTGGAAAGTGCTGCAGATCATTAAGCAACAATAGGGATTTCCGGTCTGCCGGCTTCCTTATTCACGGCCTTGTATGGAGTAGGAGTAGTTGTTGGAATATGGGGTGTATGCCTCGTGCTCCTGCAATGGACTGCCACATCTCTCTTGTGAAAATGCACTATAGCGCGGAGATAGCTCTATTGTCTCCCTTGGGAAGTAAGGAAGTTATGTTGGCTGGAATGTGGCTCATGGAACGGTGTTTGTAGAAAGTCAAGCCATATCAGCTTGGGTGATTGCATAAATAATTGAAGATGCCCGAGTCCAACTGTGCTACCAGGTTAACTGGGTTGGAATTGTTGAGAAGGTGAATTGTAGTAGTAACCTTGTGAGTGTCTCGTACTTCCCGGCCTTGTTTTACGTGAGACCCAACATCTGAAGTTCTATCAAAAAAAACACATATTTTTCTTTCTTTTTCATACCCCTTGATTAGGTTATTTATCCCCAGACCGACAATATCAACATAACAATGTTGAGATAATTATGTGAATAAAATTGTACAAGTGCCGCGAACGTGGTTCCTCGGGACCTCGGTCTATCCCCGCAATTTCATGCTGAGCTCCCCACATACCGCTGATTGCGTTTATAAGGCCTCGCTTCTCGAGTTGAACCTATACTAAGTCCACTTATCTTTACTTCTGCAATAATTCACCTCACATATACACCATGGGAAAGAAGCAAGGAACCCCTGCCTATGTCCTGGGCGTTGGCATGACGAAGTTCATCAAGCCACGCGGCAAGGTCGACTATCATGAGCTAGGCTATGAGGCTGGCATCAAAGCCATGCTCGACGCCAAGATTAACTACGATGATGTTGACCAGGGTGTAGCATGCTACGTTTACGGCGACAGCACCTGCGGCCAGCGCGTCTTCTACCAGTTCGGCCAGACCAGCATCCCAATCTACAACGTCAACAACAACTGTTCGACTGGTTCGACTGGCCTCGCCATGGCCCGCACTATGGTTTCCCACGGTGCTGCGGATTGTGTGCTGGTCGTCGGCTTCGAGAAGATGAACCCCGGTAGCTTGCAATCCATGTACAATGATCGCGAGAACCCAACGGGACTGTTTGGAATGATGATGGCCGAGACGCGCGGTGTGACGAACGCGCCTGGTGCCGCACAAATGTTCGGAAACGCCGGTGTGGAATACAAGGAGAAGTACGCAGCCCCTGGAGATGATATCAACCCATGACAAGAAGGGTGCTAACAGGTGGGAAACAGGTACGGTGCTAAGAACGAGGACTTCGCCGAGATCGCTCGCGTCAACCACGAGCACTCCAAGCGCAACCCCTACTCGCAATTCCAAACCGAATACACCCACGAGCAGATTATGAAGGCACCCATGATCCACGAGCCTCTGACCAAGCTACAGTGCTGCCCAACCTCGGATGGTGGTGCTGCCGCCGTTATTGTCTCGCAGGACTTCCTTGATGCGCGACCCCACCTGAAGGAACATGCGATCCTCATCGCTGGCCAGTGCCTCGCCACTGATACCGATACAGTCTACAGCAAGAGCTCGATTGACCTGATGGGCTTCGGCATGTCGCGCCAGGCATGCCGCACTGCCGTGGCCGAGGCCGGCGTCAATGTCAAGGATATCAAGGTCTGCGAGCTGCATGATTGTTTCTCGGCCAATGAAATGATTACTATCGATGCGCTGGAGCTATGTGAACCCGGTCAGGCCCATGAGATGGTCCGCCGTGGTGATATCACGTATGGCGGAAAGATGGTTATCAACCCATCCGGCGGTCTCATCTCCAAGGGTCACCCGCTTGGTGCCACAGGAATTGCCCAATGTGCTGAGCTAGTCTGGCACCTGCGTGGTTGGGCCAACAACCGTCTGATTGACGGTACTTCCGCGGCACTGCAACACAACCTCGGTCTGGGTGGTGCCGTTGTCGTGACCGTCTACAAGCGTGCTGATGGCAAGGTCGCCACCGCCGTGCCTTCGGACGTTGTTGGCAAGATCAACGGTCTGGGCTACAACCCAGCCGTGGAGGCCAAGGGCTTCACTGCCGAGCAGGCCAAGTCCGTCGTGAGCAAGAACCACACTTCTGAGTATGCCCTGTCAGATACCCAAGAGCGGGTCCTTGCCAGATTCTAGAGGCACATGTAAACATTATCTAGTTAAACAATTTGTACATAACTCTATCACTTGAAATGACACGATATGCAATTTATTTCACAATGCACCCCAATCTGTCCCAATCTATATGCCCAAAATATTCAAGATGCATTCTATAAACAAGTCTCCAACCCGCAAAAGAAATCATGAATCATGAATGCGTCTCCTTCCAATTCTCGGGTAGCTTGTAGTTCTTCGGCACAGAATACTGCCCTTGACAGCTCCCCGGAGCCCGACACTTCAAATCACACTTGCCATACAACCGACAATAGCACTCAGAAGCACTTGGACAGGCATCTCGATTCAACTGGTCAAGATCAATGGCCCCACCATCCCGATAACTCGCAAAAAGAATATGCCAAAGATACGAAACAATCCGACCAGCCACAAGGTCATCACCAGGCGCAGCCCTAGAGCCCCGCTGCGTATTGCGCGCAACCCCGTCATCGCTCCCATCAAGCAGCCACTGCCGAAGCGCAATATACTCATCCCGACTATGCTGCCAGATTCGGTCGCGGGAAACGACAAACTGCGCACAGCACTGCGCGCGCACGGCATCATGCCGACCAAGATAAAGATGGAAAGCATTGCGAATCTCTTCGACGCGTGCGTCAGCATCTCCACCAAAGATATGGCCAATTGCCTTCGGCAGCGCTATATCCGATGCCAAACGCGCACTCCACGGCGACACCGCGCTCGACAGCCTCATCTCGAGACTGCCCTGCGCCGGCACAGAAGAAGGACACGTACCGGCGCTCCAGTCACAGCGCAGGTTGCTGTACCCGGCTGGCTTTAGCGCGGCGCGGACGTCCAGGCTGCGCAGGAGCGCGGCGTTATCGTAATCTGGGATGTCGTTGTGCCAAGCCCAGCGGCTGCCGTGGACGAAGACAGCGCCGGCGGATGGTATGTCCGCGTAGTTGTCGATTAAGAAGGTTAGGTAGGCCATTGCTTCATGTCCACGGTTTGCGGGGACTTGGAGCAGCTTGGAGGTTTTGTCTGCTGGCGCGTCCACTTGGTACATGCATACATGGTACTGGGTGCGGAGTGGTTCTAGCCAGGATGGGTCGCCGTCCGTGGAGACATGTGAGACTACCAGGGCTGGTTTGGGTGTTTCCGCCAGGCCGGGGCAGATTCCGCGGGCTTCCGGGATGATGGATGAGGTTGTTTTGTAGCGGATTTTGGTCCAGGCAAACAGTTTGTCTTTGGTTGATTGCGGGCGGTTTAGGTATAAAATAAAGAAGAGAATGCAGAGAAAGAAGATTAGTTGAATAAATGATCTTTGTACTTTTCGGCCCATCTTGCATATTTACTCATGCAATTATATGTGTCTCCTTTCCTTTTGCCTCCAGGTTGATATTTCAGATATTTCGGGACGAGGCAATGTTGATGCCTTAGGTGTAAATATCACCCCTATTCGCAAGATCTGCGGGATCTGCGGGATCTGCAGGGAGAAGTACCCATACAACAGTGTTGTAGGTTTGGATGTGGATGAACATGAGTTTTAATTCTGGCTATACCCTATTCGTACTATGCATGGTCTTCATTTTGAGAATGGCTAATGGCATTTAATGAGTCTCGCCATATCTATTGTAGTATCCTGCAGTGACAACCCGGGGAGTCTGCCAAAGGATCAGATTATGCTGATGTCAACGCCTGTCCCGAGGTCCGTTCGAGCTGGCTTGCAAAACTTGCAGGCAACGGTATTGCCCGTCTTGATTCTGCAGACTGTAGCACCTCCGCCGATCATCTCATCAGAAGCGGCGACGATTACAAACCAACCGCGACCGACTGCGCATCCTATCGACTTCCCGCGTGGGACTTCCGCAAATGCATTGGTTTTGAGCCGCATTATGGCTCTCTCTGATGCGGAGAATGTCAATGTTGAGATAGGCTGTGTGTTCCTTACAGTGTTCGGACTAGGTGTGTTTGTGATAATCAGTTCTCACACAAACTATTGCGCATTCTTTGCAGACCTCGGGAGCCCCGGGGCCCCTCCAAGCTCTTTATTGCAGAAGCTCCGGTCAAGACACTCCAGCAACGCAACAGGGGTTTCTTGGCATAACAGTTGGAACTTCCATCGTTCTTGCGATCATCTCAAACTCAAGCTTGGCAGTTACCCGACCTTGTAGTGATGGGTCAGTCGCATTCAAGGGCAACGCCTCGGGCGACCCTCTGCAGTCCTACCCTTCATTTTCCAAGTCCGACACCAAAGTCTCTCTGGTCGACAGACGGGGGTATGTTACTGAATTCTGGCTGAGCCGAACGGGAGGAGCAGTGGGTAGAATCCAGACTGGCAGCACGAACAATTAATTGCCAATTTCCATCGCACCGTCGTTAACTGTCTCAATTTGATGGGCTTCTGTTTACAAGACAGAGACATGTATATTCTCTCAGTCGTAGCCGCGTAGTATGAAAAATGGTTGCGAGATTTGTTGAATTCACCTAAAAAAAGACCTAGGAGAAATGTTTAACGAGGTTGAAGTTGGATTTCTATGTAAGCTTGTCAAATTGAAATCGAGGTCGACAGAAAGCGTAACAGCCACGTGACCTCATGACATAATCCACGCTACTGCCCCGTCGAATAAAATTTTGCGATCCGCTTTCTCTTTTCCTTTCTTCTTCACTTCAAAACATATACACGGTCCCCAACACACTCTTGTCGATGGAATAATCTCACTCTATCTACATATTTTAGCTTAGGGACCCAGACCGAAGAATGCTCGTTCTAATCCCACCCCCTGACATTCAGCCAGAGGGGAATGGGTTCGCTTTTGAGCCAACATCCTGTGTTGAAATGAATCTTGCGATTTAGTCTTGCAGAGCTTCATGCAATTGGGGCCCGTGTTTATTCGCAGAGGCTAGCTTTGGCTGGCACTGAACTCTTGATGCTTGGGTTTCAACTCTGCGAGCCACTCAGGTCCTTGCAATTTGCATGGTCATTTCCTCAGACAGGGATGATCATATTCATCTTTTTATCCACTAACTCCTACACAGCTAGATAGATGTAAATAGCCTTGGCATCTTCGAAGTCTTGTCCGTCATATCTTGATGTTTGAGGTCAAAAAGATGCCAAAACTAAGCCCTCACAGTTGGATACGTCCTTCTGGAGACTCCCTCGTGTTATGTCCGCTCCCTCTATGGGGCTGTGCGTGTCAAAGTTGGGAGATACATTCCTTGTACGGAGTAAACAGCTATAAATTGTGAACGGTTGGTTATTCCATAACTGGCTGGTTACGATATCGGAGAAAACACAAAAAAAAAATGCTCCGTCATTGTGGAATGCTGTTGATCTTCATCTCACATCACTCCTTGCTAGGGACTCGCAACAACCCTTCGTCGAAGACCTGCGTCTCCATCCCTGTGGGAATTTTGTTCCTGCATCAGCCGCATTGCTGAAGTTCCCAGAAGCTCGTGAAAACTGCACAGGTCCTCAAGATGTGTTCGACTAAAGCCAGCATGAAAATTGCTGAGCGCCCAAGTGTGGCTGTCAAACATGAGTATGGAGTCCTTGCAATTCTGATGTTTCAACATGGAATGCGGCACAATTCATCTTGAGGCGTAGTTCGCGTAGCCTTGATCACTTTTCCTCACTTTTATTCACTGATTCACCATCATCGAATATCCCTTGATTGATCTCACACCAGTCGTTAGCTTCGACGGATATACTTTGAGATTGGAGGCCTTAAGCCCTTACCAATATATAGGTGAACGAATCAAATCTTTCTCCCCCCAAGGCATCATTTGGTATGGCAAAAGGGCTCGAAAAATAAACAAGGTAATAGTATTGTTGTTTATTCGAAACGCGGAGCCGAATACCAGGCGAAGACGCGCGGTAGCTAGTCGCAACAAGACTCTTCACCCTAGCCCCCCTGCGCATCCCATTCCCTCCATAATGTGATCGAAGGGGCTGCATATAAATCCCACTTAAGGCCCGCAGAGCCTAGGGCTCTGTCTCTCCCAGCGCCCTGTCTATTTGCAACAATCACTCATTTTCCTAACCTGTTCTTACTCAACACTCCTTTGAAGACAATTATTTGGACATATATTCCTTCCCTCCATCTATATCCTGTTTAACATACACCATTCAATATGGCCCGTTTCAGTGTTTCATTCATTTCCATTTTCCTCCTGCTCGCAGTTCTTACTCTCTCCATGCCCACCAAACGTGACGGGCAAGCCCCCAGTCAACCACTTAGCCTCGATGGTACTATTAAAGACTTGATGGTTAGTCAACTGTGCCAAAGCCACCGTGAGAAGTGCCATATTAATCAATGAACTCAGCTTGCTACCAAGTTGATGGATGGTCCCGACAACAAGGATAGCAATGAAAAGGAGAACCATGAGAAGCAGCAGGAGGCCAACAAGAAGGAGGCCAAAAAGCAGGAGGCCAATGTTGCCGCGAAGCTGGCTGATAAGACCGGGGCTGTTGGCAAGTCTACTACTACTGCCACCCCCACTAAGAAGCTTTCCTCCGGCAATTTCGTGACACCGACTACCACTCCCACCCACAAGCCCACGTCTCAGCCTAATGCCTTGGGCAGTCTTCCCATAGTCGGTGGCCTTCTTGGTGGTGCAGGAGGCGGACTAGGCGGTCTCTGATTCACTAAGAATCAAGCCCCGATATAGAGACGGAATATGAAGGTGCTACAGGATCTGTGCTGAACCCAATCCTATTTCGGTGGACGCTCGCTGGTCAATATTTATTTTCGTTTTTTACTTTTGTTTGCAAGGGACGGTCAATGATCACGATTAATTTGATACGATTAGTTCCATTGCCTGTTTGTTATGCCTTCTTCCCAACCTGTATTTGATAAAATTGTATCCGCTAATGTGCTCACTTGAGCAAAAATTCCCTTTCACCTCTAAGCATTAATCGCATCACGAGCCCTGGTCGCGGCTTGCCTGCTGGCCTTCATGAAGTCCCGTGTAATAACCTGCATAGTACCATGACATCATGAGGTTCTTCAACGACTCATCTTGGACTAGAAGTATATGTCAGTTACATGAATCAACGTGTCCCGAGGACGGAGCATACCGTTTGCCATGATTGGGTGAGGCATCGGCATAGCAGGCATGGAGACCGTAGAACTGGCGTCAGCCACGGGTTGAGAAGGCTATATACCGTCAGCGAGTTCTTTGGCGAGGAACAAACCATTGAAATGGCAATATACCTCGGGAGCAGACTCAGTCATTGAGATATCCTCATTCTCAGGTTTAGTGACACCACCCTCTGCGGCTTTGGTGACTTCACTGTCACCGTGAGGTACAACTGGAATAACAACAGGGTCTTCTGCTTCTTTCAAGACATCTTCAACATTTTCACCCTTGGCGTGAATGCTCCAATAATGCTGCCGTCAGGTTAGATATTCGTCACGTGAATTAATGACTCGGTTACTGACCTGGTATTCTTCGACAGCGTCGTCCCAGGACTGAACCAGGGCAGAATCATCCCAGACCTCTGCATGTGTCAAGGTCTTTTTTTTATTCTTCCCCATGATGTTGGCCCATTTGGGGTTGTAGTAAGTAAACATCTTGGCGGTAACTGTCGTAATCGGTGGGCGACACGGCTCACCGCCTTCCAAGCAAATCAGGAAGAAAAAAAAGTTTCCCGCAGATGATCGAGCAGCATACAGTCTCCAATTCGACACAACAAAACGTCGAAATGGCCCCTGACAAGAGAGTTTCAAAGCGCAAGGGTATGTGGAATTCTTATGAGTGGTGGAATTTATTTTCGTGTCACTAACGCTACTGCAGCTGCGCCTGTCGCCGCCGACTCACCCGCCAAAAAAACCAAGAAGGTCGAGGCCAAGCCCGCCGAGGCAACCAAGGAGACTGCTCCCAAGTCTATCTTGAAGAAGAACCAGAATGGTACCAAGTCTAAGACAGAGAAGGCTGCTGCGCCGGCCAAGACCAATGGCGAGCCCACACGCGAGGTCAAGCCTCGCAAGCGTGCTGCTGACTTCCTTACCGACGACGAGGTCGAAGAGCCTGTCGCGCCTGTGAAGGCTGACAAGAAAGCTGAGAAGAAGCCCGCCGCTAAAAAGTCCAAAAAGGAGGAGGCTGAGGCCGCCCCCGCTCCCAAGAAGGCTGCCGCGAAGAAGGCCGCCCCCAAGACCAAGAAGCCCGAGCCCGTCGTCGAGTCCGAAGAGGAAGATGCCGAGGAGGATGTATCCCCAGCTAATGAAAGCGAGGCTGAGAACGAGGGTGGTGATGACCAGACTGAGGCTCTCATCAAGGGCTTCGAGAGCAGCGGCGACGAGGATGAGTCTGATGGTGAGGGTTACAAAGAGGGCGAACCCATCCCTAAGGCCCCAAACACCAAGAAGGCCGAGCGCAAGCTCGCCAAGCAGATGCGGAAGAACGGCCCTCCTGAGGAGCCTGGCACTGTCTACATTGGGTGAGTGTCGTCGACCGTAATTTCTGACCAGTTTGAACAATCTAACATCCCATTCTCAGACGCATCCCCCACGGTTTCTACGAACACCAGATGAAGGCTTACTTCTCCCAATTCGGCGAAATTACCAAACTCCGTCTCTCGCGCAACCGCCTCACCGGCCGCTCCAAGCACTACGCCTTCATTGAATTCTCCTCGACTACCGTCGCCAAGATCGTCGCCGATACAATGGACAACTACCTCATGTACGGTCACATCGTCAAGTGCAAGTTCGTGCCCAAAGAGCAGCTGCACCCAGAGATCTGGAAGGGCGCCAACCGCCGCTTCAAGGTTACGCCATGGAACCGCATCGAGAAGAAGCGTCTCGCGAAGGGAAAGACACGCGACCAGTGGTCGAAGAGCATCGAGTCCGAGCAGAAGAAGAGAGAGGCCAAGGTTAACAAGCTCAAGGCTCTGGGTTACGAGCTTGATCTTCCCCAGCTGAAGAGCGTCGATGATGTCCCCGTCCAGGAGGCCCCCAACGCTGTCGAGGCCGCCGAGGCCACCGAACCCACCGAGGCTGCCACTGAGGAGCCTGCCAAGGCCATCGAGGCTCCTGCTCCTGTTGAGGCTTCTGTTCCTACCGATGATACCCCCAAGAAGGCCAAGAAGGGCAAAAAGACAGAGACACCCAAGGCACCTGCTACAGAGTCACCGGCCGCTAAGTCTCCTGCCACCAAGGCGAAGGGAAAGGTCACTAAGAAGGCCACCAAGACCAAGTCCAAGGCGTAAACAGGATCATGTAAAAATTGTTTCTAATTTCATTCATCAAGCCTCTTTCTCAAATGCATTGTTTTCTTTTTGCCCTTTCCTCAGTAAATTTCCTTTAGTAATATGCAAAGGCTAACCTTGGAAATCAGTGTGAACAATTGTAAGGGAAAAAAAGTGAAAAAGTATGGCAGTTGTTGATAGGGAAACCTCAAGTAAATAGGCCTTTTTCTCCCTGGGACATTCTCTCTGTTTCTATTTTAACAGTAAATCAACTAGGTATCCTTTCCCCAGTGTTTCTGCTGGATACTTGACTTCCATGCTGTACACATATTATTGCTCTGGAACATCGCAAGCCCTAACCCATGTCATATACGCTAGTCCTAACTAAGACTAGTGCTGTCACCTGACTAGCGCAAGAAAAATAAAAGCCTTGCGCCCGAAGATTCCATTCCGTCTTCTTCTCCCAACTCCTCGCTCAAAGAATCGCATTCAAAGCTCACACACAAAGGAAGCCTCGCTTCCTTTTCCAATTTTGCTTTGGGAGAAAGTCCCCGGACACCCTGCGCTTCGGGTAAAACCGAAGTACCAAGCCAGGCACTGCGGAAACGCGCCGCCATAGAAGCAATTCGATAGCGGCTTACGCCCTATTCCCTCACGGCATCCCGTGCCACCTGACGGTTACATTACGATGTCTCTGGAAACAATGGGGTGTGTGCTGGGTGTTGGAGGGGGGAAGGATTGGTGGTAAAACACCTTTCCTTGTATTGGGTTGCCTTTCGTCATGTTCCGATAGTCATGCGATTGCCTCCTGTCTGCTTCCTTCGAAGTTGATGGAGGTAACTCAATGGGGCTCATTCTTGAGGCGAGGAGTTCATTTGTCTTTTTTTCTTTCCAAGAGTCTGTAGCTTATGGCAAAGCGGTGATGAGATGCTGTCTCGTTGCAGAAGCCCTGTCACAGGGGCCGGACTCTTTATATCTTGCCATAGGCTTTTTCTTTTCTTGTTCGCGTGATGATATACCAATCATAGAGTCAAGCACAGAGATCCCAAGGGATTGTTGACGATAAACGATTTAAAATTATCTGATGAACACTATATAGCCAGTTTTTCAATTCGAGCAGTTCAGATATCAATGTAATTGAAATGAATGATTAAAATGCAATATTCGTAGCTAAATCGTAGCATTTCACTTCGTATAATACAACCCGTCTCCATGCAATATAGCCAGGCCCATGTTTTCGTGTTCATTGAGCCTTCTTGCCCTCGGCATTGACAGGCGCAGCCTCCTTCTGTTCCTTCTTCTGGCCAACCACCTGCACCAGCAATGGTCCCATAAGCTCGGCGGCGAGCGCAATGGTAGTCGCACAGACATTACTCCAAACCTGGATGCTGACGGATCCCAGCGGGGCGCGAGGGAAGGACACAATCCATTCAACGTAGTAGGGAAACCAGGCCTCAGGAAGCGGGAAGACAGGCGTTTTCGAGTACCAGAACTGCAAGAAGATCTTCAGCCCGTTTGTGCTGAGCCAGCGGGCGATCTTGACGGTCCAGTCGAAGGAGGATTTCTGCGCGGTGAGCGTCTTGTCTGTGGAGAGACAAGGGTGTTAGCAGTCTGGTCAACAAAGATAACAATTCCTCCTGTAGTCTTGTGATAGAGATACGTACTCAGCGCCTCGTATTCCTCCATGCTCTTGTCGTGTCGTCTCCTGGCCTTCGCCCACTTCGCAAACTCATCCTGGGAGCTTGTGCTGTTCATTTCGTGCTTCTGCTCGAGGACTTGGCGCTTCAGCTGCTGCTGTTTGCATGCAGTCCGCGAGGTTGGTGTCGGCAGTTTTAGATAAAGGAGCCATAACTGTATGCCAAAGAGAGTAGATGTTAGCGTTTGAGGTCACAATGTAGGTGCGCGGCGGAGCTGGGAAGCTTCTCAAAGCCCATTCGTGGGAGGATTGGAGACATACAAGACTGTCGATAGTACTTGCACCAACCGTGTTGACTAGGTAAATTGCGACATGCACGAAGAAGACTGTAAGGACGAGGGACAACATCCTGGCGGGGGCTGGCAACACCGAGATGAGACGTTGAATGCGACGGCGCAAGCTAAGAGAGCCTGGAAGAGCGACTGCGGCACAGTCAGGCCACTAAGCGAGTCTCCGGCAACTGTGGGTGCGATGGAACGTCCTGGCAAAATAGATGTTGGTTGCTTGTTGAAGGAGTGAATGACGTCCCTCGTCGTGGAAAGGTGGAAATAACAGCGGACTTGGCCTTTCCGCCTTCACTGTATCACGGTCTACGCCATCTTGTCCACCACTTTTTCTGGGGCAAGACAGAAAATACGGAATCATTTCCAAAAAAAAAAAAAAAACAATATATGATGA